AAGCAGATATGTTTGAAAAGGTCTTTGTCTGGGTGGGTCTGCAGTGCATTAGTTGGGTTGGAGGACTTATTTGGGAAATTTGAAAAGAGGGGTTTGCCAGAAAAGAGGGGGGGTTTGCTAAAAAAGGGGGTTCTCCCAAACCATAAAAACCCTCCAGGATACGGGCCTGAATATAATAATAATATTAATAATAGTAATAATAAGAACAATATAAATAATAATAATAATAATAATAATAATAAAAATAATATTAAAAATAATACCCATCATGCACCTCCACCGGATTTATTCGCTCTTACAAGGTTAACTGCAAGACAATAGCATAGGCTATGCCCTAAGGGCATTAAAAAATTTTTTAAAAAACATGTGACATGCCTTAAATATGGTCACGATGACATCACATCATGACATCATGATTAACTTATACACTTAAGTTAATCATGACATAGGCACATCATGATAAACTAAAGTGTATAAAACAAGTTTTTGTCAAAGAAAATGTTATGGCTGTACTTGTCCACTTACCTTTGCTTTTCTTTCTCAAGGTTTGCAGCCATTCTGTCTTTATTATCAAGACGCTCTTTGAAGCATTTTTTCTCAGCTTCCAATTCTTGGATTTGCTGTTCCATTTTGGCAACATCCCTAAAGAGATTACAAACACAAGAGTATAGTTTATTTATAGAAAATAGTTTATTGACCTAATGCAGCTGGAGGCAAATTTTTCATGCAAAATTTTATAATTTTTCTCTCAATATCATTTGGTCATCTATTTTATGAATGTTTTACTTAATAAGCACTCAATAAAGTACTGGGTAGCAAGTTTATATTATAGATATATAGTAAATTATATAAGTACAGAATAACTCAGAATGTTAGTCTTTTCAATGTCAGGATAAACAGGCTTGAAGTTAAGAGTGGTAGGAGGTAGGAGAATAATCCATAACTCGCAGCGTCATTGTGCTGAATTGTGTATGGGCGTCGTCTGTGACTACCTAATGGCCGTAAAGAGGCACTTATAGTTGCTATATGTTCAGATCATTCAAAAAGGAAATGAACAATCGTCAGGGTAACCCAAGGCTTCTCTAAAGTGCACACAAGCTAGATGTGTAAACTGGACCTTCATTTTAAGTTCTTATCCGAGAAAACATGGTTTTACCAACCAAACCCTTATTTACTCACTTGTCAGGAATGGTTCCAGCAGCCTGGCTTTCCTTCTCCCTGAGTTTAAGCTCTTCAAGTTGTTTCTTCAACTCAGTTTTCTCATCAATGTATCCATACATCATTGTCTGAATGTTATCTATAGCACTTTTGAAAAATCAATTATCTATTCTTTGATTTACTATTCAAACAATTTATACTTCTACATGATGTGGACTGGCTGTCATGTTAGACATACAGTAGCATTATTTACACATGTCAGTAATTAATATGTCATCTCTATTTTCATTTCTATATTCCAGTCGTTATCTCTGGCTTTGAAAATTATTCTTATTAACAGTTTCCCTGACAGATTTATCACAATGCCCCGACAGCAGGGCCAGGTGTCACCACAACTGGGCCCAGTGCCACCCCTGATTTACTGATTAATTTTGGAGAATATTCTTACATCTTTTGCTGTGTGTTGGTAGCTTCGGACTCATTGTAAAGCTTCTTAAGGTTGGTTTTCTCATGTTTTAGTTCCTCAGTTGCAGTCTTCTGCTCAGATAGAGCACTAATAATAATAATAATTATAATAATAATAATAATTATTATTATTATAATAATAATTATAATAATATTTAATTGAAAATTCATTCTCTCAACTTTTACAATAAATCATTGAATGAATGAATTAAGTGATAAAGTCAACCTTTTCTTGACATAAAAATGATTAGAAGATCAGATACCCATTTATATTTTAAAGGCAAGGCACATTTGCTAAGCCAAGGTTTTACTATTTGACTGGTAGAGCAATAGAAACTTACGACACCAAGGAGGCAACCTCATTGAGCAAGCCAACGTTCTCTTGTTTGAGATGCTCAATGTCTCCCAGTTGTTGCTTAAGTTCATCCTTCAATGACAAGATGTTGCCATCTTTCTCTTTGATAGTGGTGTTCTTCTCTTTGATGATCTGAGCATAGTTATCAGCTTTCTTGGAGAGCTCCTCCTTTTCGTTTGACAGTACACCAAGTTCGTCTTCCATGTCGCCCAGTTCAACATTTATCTTCTTAATATACAAGTCCATCTGGGTTTGATCAGTCTCCAGGTCTTGAACTTTCCGCTTCAGCAAAAATATTTCCTCATTTGCTAGGAGAGATTTCTGCTCTTCCTCCTAAACAGAGCAAGAGCTGTGGTATATTATGACAGTATATTGAAAATTGAAAAAAGAAATAACGATAATATTAACAAAGAATAATGATATTAATAAGGATAATTTTCAATCACTATTTTCATAATCCTTAAACCTAATAATTAATAACCCATTAGTTCACTCATTAGTATTGCTATAACAAAAATATAATAGTGACAAAAATGAAAACAACAACAATAACTATTGAACAAATGGTGATAAACAACAATAGCTGAGATGAACTTAGAGTTAATGAAATGCCAGTAAGCTTCACCCCTTCCCCTTTTCAGCTTAGTATGGTAAAAAATTCAAATATGAATATCCATGACTTATAAGCCAGTGTACTGGCTGTCCTGTATCATTTTTTTTTGTTCTAACGTAAAAATATTATCAAGAATAATTATATATATTAATGTTAATGAGGAAGGTAAATCTGTGTTAGAAGAACGTTGAATTCAGAAGTAACAGTTATGGGGGAAAAACAACTAAAGTAGAAAATGAGATATATTAAAAGTGTACCTTTACAAATCAAAGTCCTGAAATTAAATTTAAAAAATAAATAATAAGAGACTGGTAACTATACTGATTTACAATATCACTTCAAGCTTATGTTAAATTATATAGGCTTTAATTGATTTTAATTAAAATTTGTTATATTATTTCAATATACTAAATATTAAAACTAAACCAATAATTTACAGATTAATAATACTATTTAATAATTTACAATATAAACAATAATAATAATAATAATAATAGATGATGGTATACAATATTAATTATAGAAGTGTACCATTTAATAAAAATTATAAACTGTTTATCAACAAATACTTTATTATGAGTTGATAAACATTCATATGCAATATACAGTATACCTTTTCTGAAGGTTCCTTTTCTTTGATTGTATTGGTTGGAGGAGGTGGTTCCTTCAATGGTGAGATTAATATTGGGTCCAATTTGTTTTGCTGTGGTAAGCAAGTGACAGTAGCTGTCTTCTCAACTCTATAATCATAAAATCGATTGAAAAAAATAAGACTAGATAAGAACAATATCAATAATGTTTACATTTTTCTAATAAGCTTTTGTTACACTGTACCTAGATGGGTCTGGCTTCAAATCCGTCAGTGGAATTATAATAACTAATTAGTCTTAATAATAACATTTGGCCATCTATTTATATTAACTGCAATGCTACAGTTAGCACTAGTAAGTATTATTTTTACTATCAAAATATTGGTATATGAAAACATAATGTACCTGGTTCCATCTTTCACAATGAGTGATGCATCTTTGGCAGATGGTGATTCCAATGACAAGTCAAAGTCACCAAAGTCATTATAATCAGCCTTCCCTCTTTCTTCACTTTCAGGTATGTGACAGAGGCTATTTAATCAATTCATTTAAAATCAAATTCAGTAACTTTACAATACTATGATACAGGATTTTTAACTAAATATATTTAGTAAGTAGATATTTATCAATCAATCAAAAATACTTTAATGATAGTTAAAACTTATCTGAAAGTAGACAATAATACCTCTTCTTAGATTCCGCAAGTCCAAGTTCACCAATAGATTCTTTGCACAGCATAACATCTATAGAATATAAATTTTAAAACCTCTTTATCATGTAAAATAATTAATATATTCATTTCTACACATAATGATCATGAAATTGTTAATAGTCTATCAACAATAATACACCATAATTAATGATAGTATTTAAAGCAGTAAAAGATGAGGATAAACTTATAAGGACAATGACAGTGGTGATGATAAATGACAATGTTGTTCCTGATGATGATGCTATTGCTGATGATGTTGATGAAGATAATGATAATAGTGAAAAGTTGATAATAGATGATGATGGATGATGGTGATGATACTCCATAGGATCGTTTTATCAACAGCTTTTATGGTGAGTTACAGTTCCTCTTTCAGAACAGTTTTAAAAAACAAACAGCCCCTCACCTGGCACAGGTGGCATGATACCCTCATCACTTGAGACGTCCTTATGTACGGCAGGCATAGCTACATTCAGTGGCGTAGTGGAAGCAGATTTTATACCCTTGTTTTTAGGAATGCTAGGCAAAGCAGTTTTAAACGAAGAAGGGGCAGATATATTCCCCTTGTTTTTGGAAATGTTAGGCAGAACGGCCCTGCCGAACATTGGCACTGGGCCTAAAGGTAGTGGTTTAGGCAGTGCTCTAGGCAAGGGTTTAGGCAGGTCATCAAGAGGGAGGCCTAACAAATCATCTACAGCTTCAGCCATCTTTCATCAACTTCTTGAGCTCAAGACCATTGGGTACCTTTGAAAGTAATCAAAACATTGTGATGCCTGCATAGATTATCTATTTTCTTCAAGAGAGTACAAAACATTTTCTTTTTGTGAACCCACCGCTCCCCTCTCTTGTGAAGTACATAAAATGGTACATAATCTCAAACCCTTCTTTCTAAAAAGTATGTTTGCCTTTGCAGAAATTATGAAAATAAGGGATTTATTGTTTTTTCATTTAATTATTTATTACCTAGGCATTTGTTTTGTTATTATCCCCTGGGATCCTTAAATTTCCTTGAATTTTTTTATTCTCCAAATATCTCTCTAGGCCTAGCCTTAGCCTAGGGGTAAATCTCCTGTGCGTGCGCGCATTTTCTGGCATCTTTAGAGTTCTTTACTGTAGTCATTAGGTACTTCAAAACTATTTTAATAAGCAATGACATTGTCTTTTTTAACTTGTCGAGAATGAGTTTGTCATCTAGTTACTTGGCTTTACACATAGGCCTAGACCCTACCTAGGCCAAGCAAGATAGTAAGCCTAGGCCTACCCTACCTAGTTAGGCTAGACCAGTAGAAATTAATTTGGAAATAAAACCACACTAGGAGGCCTAGGCCTGGTACTACTATTATTTAATATAAGTGGCTAGGGCTAGGCCTAGCTAGGTTAGTCTTGCCTACAATTTTTACTACTCACTAGGCCCTATGCTGTATAGCAGTAGGCCTAGGCCTGGACCTATACCTAACCTAGGATAGGCCTAAGCTTATGTACCAAATGCTAGCCTACTATGCCTAGTCAGGGCCTTTCAATTGCAAATTATTATTATTATTTATGTGATATACAGTAATTTATGTATGGTCGGAACAAAAAAATACAGGCATAGACCTACCTTTTGAAGTTAAAATAACAATAAAATCAAAAAATACTCACCAAACTTTCTGCCAGTAAATTACTTCTCGCGCATTATTTACATCCCAAACAGAAATGGTTGCTATATCACATATTCCACGGCTGTAGTCAAGCACTTTAAGCCAATCACTGCTAAGTATAGATCGCTTCATGAATATTCATAATTAATATTACATAGATTGAAACAAAAGGCCTGGTGGGCGTGGTGGTATTTGTCACGTCTATGAAAAGAAGACGACCCGAAAACGAAACCCCTCTTTTTTTAATAATGAATTACGAAACAAAATTATGAGATTATTTGGACGTCTATTTGTGAAATATGTCAAGGGTCTTTGTTTTGTGGACATCGTCATCGTGTTTGGCTCTTAGGTATTAGTCTTCGTCGCGTTTTGTAGACACCACTGTCATCATCAAATGTTTAAACAAACCATCCCCTCAGCATATTTTCCACAAAGTAGCTGTTTCATACGAATCAGCAATCAAGGCCGTGGAACTGCACCGGTCGCATCGGCTTTGGCCGGACCACTTCTCATATTTTTATTATAATATATATATATATATATACATATATAT